TTTCCTTTCCGTTCCTCCTTCCTCCCTCCCTCCCCTCCCTCCCTCCCTCCCTCCCTTCCTTTCCTTCCTCCCTCCCTCCTCCTTTCGTCGTTTTTCTACTCCTCCATTCCTTTCTCCTCTCCTCTCTCTCTCCCTTTCCTTCCTCCCCCCCCCTCTCTCCCAATCCCCTTGCGTTCATCCCTGAGATCCCCACAGGTTCTATCGGTCTGAACCCGCTGGTTTGCAAGGTAAACCTCAGCACGAAACACGCACATGCAGACGTTGCCTGCTCCCCACTCACGTCCTGGCAGTCCGTCAAATCGAGAAGGAGGAGCGACAAGCCCGGGCTTGCGTTCGAGTTGGACATGGTGGGGCTCGTAGAGTTGTGGCGCGGCTGACTAAGTTGACGATGGCGGGCAGGACTTGGAGCTTGCTAGCGATCTCTATCTTCAAGTTGACTTCTTCGTCTTTCCCCTCCTCTCTGTCTCCAACTTGTACCTGTCTGCGAACTTACGGTCCTGCTAGCTGTGAGGGTGACCAGCGTTTGACCTTCATGGCAGTGCGTCGCTCACCTTCATCGAGATTGACGACCGAGACCCTGACGTCTGGCCCCAGCCGACGCACCTTGACGTTGGATTCTATAGCAGGTACGAGGCGATCCTGACAGCATGATGATGATGATGATGATGATGATGATGATGATGATGAGGAGGAGGAGGAGGAGGAGGAGGAGGAGGAGGAGGATCAATAGTAGTAGCGGTAGGAGGAGGAGGAGGAGGAGGATGGTGGTTATGGTGATGATCGACTCTAATTTTCCTCAACTCCTGGAATTCAACTTTCCTGACTTCTCATTCAAGGCCGGATATTGATGTTCAAATCAAGTTGTTTGCTCTCTTCGATATCTTTTCTCTGCCTCTTATGAATCTGGTACATCTGTCTAACACCTCGAATTTCATCTCAGACCATCTCCAATCTTTCCTCCCTCCTCCCTCCTCCCTCCTCCCTCCTCCCTCCTCCCTCCTCCCTCCTCCCTCCTCCCTCCTCCCTCCTCCCTCCTCCCATTCTGTCTGATCTTTTTCGCTACTTTTGACTTCTTCGTTTTGCTCTTCACAGGTCAAAAAATTCGCCATCGATTACATCTGTAAGATGATGGGCCCCAACAAGAACGGACAACTACAAACCCTCTGCATACTCGATGAATCCTACGCACAGTGGCTGTACGATGGTAAGGATTCTGAAAGATCCTTTCCTCTTTGTCTCGTCTCGTCTCACCATTTCATCATTTCCTGTCTAATCTCTGAATCTCTTCATCTACCATACTTCATCCACCATATAGTTTTACACGCAGATCATCCCCGCTCTCTTTTTCACCTCTTTTCTCCTTTCCTCTTCCCCTTCTCCATCCATACCGTGTCTGGTCTCCTCTTTCCTCTCCTTCCCCCGCCTCACTCCCGCACTGCTGTCTCACTTGCTCTCTCCCTCCAGACGTCAACCAGCGAAGGCTCGGCAAGTGTCTCCCCTACGAGATCTGCGAGGAGGGGCAGGAGGAGTACCTCCTCCTCGTTGTTCGCGTCCTCTACGGCACAAACCTGCCTGCCATGGACTCGCTTGCAGGCTCTAGCGGCGCCTGCTGCGTGATCCGATATGGGACAGGTGAGTGGGAGAGGGAGGGGGAGGGGGAGGGACGGCGGAGCAGGGCAGGGCAGGGCAGGGCAGGGCAGAGAAGAGCAGAGCAGAGCAGAGAGCAGATCAGGATAGGTGAGGTAGGTTTGTAATACATGAGGAGAGGAAGGAAGATAGAATGGTGAGGGTGTGGAAGAAGCCGACGACGATGTGCAGGAGCGGACGAGAAAGGAAGAGACAGCAAGGAGTTCACTACCCGAGCCATCTCGTCCTCAACGCAACCAGTGTGGAACGAGGAGTTCGCCTGGCTGACAAGATCCAACAACGAGATCCTCCATGGTGAAGTAGCATCGGCTTCCTCCTCCTCCTCCTCCTCCTCCTCCTCCTCCTCCTCCTCCTTTGCCTGCTCCCCCTCCTGCTCGTGCTCCTCCTCCTCCACCACCACCACCACCACCACCACCATTTGCTGCTCCTGCTCCTGCTCCTGCTCCTGCTCCTGCTCCTGCTCCTCCTCCATTTGCTGCTCACCCTCCTGTGCATTCGATTCCCCATGCTCTTGCCCCTGCTCCTGCTCTTCCTCCTCTTCTCTCAAACGATCGCAGTCGATTTGAAGGAGCACAGCAAGACGGGTCAGCGCGTCGTCGGAAGCTGGTCGAGCCGCTTTTCTTCCCTCAGGTCTCAGCTTCCTGACCTCCAACCTGGGAAGCCAGCACTGTACAAGGTGAGGGGAAGGAGAGACGTAGGAAGGAGCTCTGTCCTGTGTTGCGCTTTCACCACGCCATCCTCTCGATTCCCTGTTTGTTGTCCTTGCTCTCAGTGATCTCTTGCGCTCAGATTCTCGATCTTGGTAAGGACAAAGGGCAGATTCACATCACGATCAGGCTCTTTCCACAATCTTCTCCTCCTCCCCTCCCCTCCCTCCTTCAAGACGCTTCTAGCACAAACACTCCTCCTCCTGTTTCTGCTGCTCCTGCCCTCCAGCTCACTCGGATAGCGCTGAGAGATCATAGCAACTTCAGCCGTCCAGGTCTCCTTCACATTCAACTCGTCAAGCTCACAAACTTGAACGGCAACGGGAAGTCGAGCAGAGCGGACGCGTACGTGAAGATCTTTGTAGGGAGGTAAGAAACGATTGTGTTGTGACATTGTGGAGAAAGGTGGAAAACTGAGAGCTGTATGTTGTGATTGACGCCATCTTTGTTGTTGTTTCTTATGCTTGCTTACGGATGATGCCGATTTCCTTCCATTCTACTCTACAAACATTTGAAGGATTTCTCCTTTTTCAGCAAGAACAACTTGACGAACGGGAGCATAAGAAGCTCTTACAACAACTCGGAGATGAAGCAATCTATCACCAAATACAACAGCATTAAACCGACTTGGGACATTTCAGATGGACAGTTCATCTTCTACCTCCAGCAGTCTGCCTCTGACACAGCTGTCATTGCCCAAGTAAGTGAAATCAAACTTGCTCTCGTCATCCGCAACCTTGTTGCCTGTAAGGGTGTCTTGGTATTGTGACTTCTTGTCCTCAAACTTGAAAACTCTCTTGCGAACTCTTCTGAAAACTCTCTTGCGAACTCTTTTGAAAACTCTCTTGCGAACTCTTGTCTACGACAACATTTGCCGCCTTCATCCATGTCGTTTTGCCAACTTCCTCAAGTGTTGCTGCTCCCTTACAAGTTACTCTCTCACCTCGACTCATTGCATGCAGGTGTACGACAAAGACACGTTCTCCTCCGACGACTTCCTGGGATTCGTTGCTCTCAATCTCGGAGATCTACAGGCCAACAATGCAGGTCAGCCTGCTGCCCAACGTCTCCGACATCCTCCTAGTTCCAGTCCTCTCCCTCCCCTTTCTGCCCCTTTGTCAGCCCCTTGCTCCTCTTCCGCTCGATTTCCTGTCTCGCTCACCTTCATGGTCAGCCACAAGGTTTCGGACGAACAAGAACCGAATCGCTCAGCCCTTGATGAATGAGAAGAGGCAGCAGGTGGATCGAAGTTGAGAAGAGATGATGTTTGCTCTGTCTGATCGTTTTGACACAGATCGCCGGCAACATCATACCAGGGCAGCCTTCTTGTATGCACCTCATCTTGGAGTTCACACCCGACATGGAAGTCGTTGACAGGCTTGAGGTCGGGAACAAATCTCAATCAACAAATCTGTTCATCTTCCACCTTCGCCTTCTTTCATCTCTGATTTCTTGTGTCTCATCACTCCTTGTTATCCTTGCTTTTTCTGATCTAACTCACTCCATTGCTGCTGCTGCTCCTGTTGCAGGTTCGTGTCCTTCGTGCTCATAACGTCCCGAGGATGGACTACATCGGTTCCTCCGATCCCTTCGTTGAGGTTTGGCTCACCAAGCAACGAGATGATGCTGATGATTACGGTGATTCCTCTCCCCCCTTGCTCTCCTACTCCTGCCCTCCTCTGCTCATCCCGTATTCCTCCTCTGCTCCTGCTCCTGCTCCTCCTCAGGCTCCTCCTGCCCCCGCCGCCGCCGCTGCTTTTTTCCCTTTTGATTGGAATCGCCAGGAATCGCCATCCAGCATCAGGTCCGAAAGGCCACCAGCACCAAGGTCAACCGATGGACAAGACTTTGAGAAGGGATAACCCCCCTCCCTTTGCAGAACAACACCACCGCTCCCGTATGGGAAGGGGAGAGCTTCGTCTTCTACCCCGACTCGTTGACGGAGCAGGTGGAGGGGAGGGCATCCTGAGACGGCCCAGTCACTCTGCTGATCATGGCAGATCTGTCACATCATGTACGACGAGGATCGGCTCTCCTCTCCCAGGGAGATCGGGCGGATCGCCTGCTCTGTCTGTGCCTTCTCCTTCTCTCCGCCCTCCTGCTCTGATCCGGGAACGCAGATCGAGCAGCTGGCTGAGCAGGCGATGAGGACGGAGGGCAGACTGTTGAGGAGATTCACACTGCAGCACAAGCTTGCCTGCCGGATCTCCAGCAAGCTCGACCTCATCCTTGAAGTGGAGGTAGGCAACCTGCCCTTGCGCAGCTCGTCCTCAACCCTCACTCTCAGTACAACATCCGTGGCCCCATGGACTTTCTCTGGAGGAGGGCGCAGGCTCTCGGTTGGCCCATCGCCCCCTCCGCTCGCTGAGAGGAAGGGCAACTGATGTTTGTTCAACCTTCACCCCCTCCCCTCCGCCCTCTCTTCCCCACTTTTTGCTCCAGAAGAAGATGGCGCCGGTGCTGTTCGACACATGGAGGGACATGAGAGGTGTGAGGGACAGATGGTTGTAGACTGCAAGTGGTATCCTTCTATCTGTTCTGCAGGTATTGCATCACAATCGATGTAGACCGTAAGGGAATGGAAGGCTGTGTCTTTAAAGCTTGGATGATGTATGCTGTGCTCTACTCCTCTGCTTGCTGAATGGATCCTCCTCCTCCTCCTCCTCCACCA